TACATCTATTTGATGTTGTTAATCAATATCGAGCAATATTCAACAATGATAAATCTGGAAATGATGAGAACTATGATGGCGGGCTGCTTTTCAGCTGGGCAATGCAACAAGTTAGTAATCACCTCACTACTCTTCAAGTTATGTTACCAAACATAACAGAAGGTGGGTCTCTGTCCAACATTCTTGAACAATGCATGGTAAGAATGGATTCTGATCCTTTTTTCTATATCGATTATGGTTCGATACAATATTTATCAGTGATATCTGCTTTCGTTTATAAATTTGATAGTTGATACACTTTCATGTTGCAGTATTGTGCAATGGGTCTTGCCTTAGTTGGATTGGATTTCCGTGGCCTCCTTCCACCAATCTTTGAGAAGTAATTGTTGTTTAAATTATAGAATTTTATTAGTGACTCTAAAGGGGCTTTATTATTGATGCTGTTATCTGCATTTTGCAGTGCGGTTCTAAATTTATTCTCAAAGAATATGAGTATGGCAGTTGAAAATTTCCAGGTAACACAGTGTTTTGCAACCATTATCATGGTGAAATACTGTTCTAGATCAACTACCCTGTTCGCTTGAACTTATCAGCCTGGCTTATCAGCCATGGTACAGTGTTTTTCTCTCACAACAAATCAGCGAACAGTACTTTTCAGCCTGGCTTTATAAACTGGATTCGCTTTGCTGTGCTGTTTGAGCTTTTGACCAACTTTCTAGTTCTTTGGACTCTGCGTCTTCCAATGTTATTGTTATACTATCTTACTGACACTGTAATACCTTCGACCATGCTAGGTCGTTTTGGATTCACACCGTTGGGTTCCGATGCCATCTGTTGGCTTTGTAGCAAATGGTGTTGTCGATGAGACTTCTGATGATGTGACTCCACCTTCTGTTTTAATGGAACATCCACCTCTTGCAGTGTTTGTTAACGGTAAGTTCTACTACATCACTCGTAGTATTTTGCTCCTGTCACTCTACTCGAGCATATCTTGTGGATAACTGTTGTGTCCAAGTTGATGCGTCATGTTTTGAAACCCTTGTCTGCAGGTGTTTCAGCAGCAATGAATGAGCTAAGACCGTGCGCACCATTGAGCTTGAAAGTCGTCCTTGCTCAGGAGGTGGTCAAGGGACTACATGCAGTCTCTGACTCCCTAGTAAGATACAAAGCCATGCGGATGCTCCGTGGAAATGAGTCCGCTCTTTTCCTTTCACTCTGCCAGGCATTTATCGAGGTTTGTTTAGTTTTCCATGATACATCAGTGGTTTTGAATCTGATAAGAGAACATATTTCTACAACACACATGAAACGAAACTGAATGACTCAGTCTTACCCATAAAGCCTAAATTGTAAACAGTAAACATTTGACATCTTGGTTTTCCATCAGGTTGCATATCCTTATTGTGCCGCATGCTTTGGCCGATGCTATCCGAATGGGGCAACATTGATCTCAGAGTGTCAGGGCACATTTGACGCTGTCCGTCAGCTACTGACTGTGCCTGCAAGATCTAACAGTTCCAGCATCGAAAGAAGGCAGTCAGGAGGCATCGAACGTAGGCAGTCAGGAGGCATCGAACGAAGGCAGTCAGGAGCCATTGAAAGAAAGCAGTCTGTTGAGAGCACTGGGACAGCGGTCACTGATAATGGGCTCTCAGCCGATGGACCTGGGCTAGAGACCAATGCTGCTGCTGCAACCACCACCCCACCGATTGAGGACAATGTGAGTACCCATCCACCGGCAAGTAAGTAGCTTGGACCTCCGCTTGAATCTTTTAAGCCCTTCATCAAGGCCTGGTTTAGTCAACCAGAGATGAGATTGCTGCAAGATTATATTCGTTCGAGAATTATTCATAGTTTTGATCCTGGTCCTACAGTGTACACAAGATCTCACCAGATATTTGTATCTTAATTTGTATCACTGGACACCATTAAATTTTTAGCTGTTCATTGTTATAGTCGATACCTAGATGTTGTCGAGTGAGTGTCCAACCTGAACATTCAATAATCTGATAAATACAAACTGTGTTCACCGCGTTGACTACACACTTTTTTAAATCAAAGAACTGATTCATAAGTTGTCCTTGGATATAGCATTGACACTACTGACTGTATTTTTCTCTATCTGATTCCATCCAAACTCTAGGTTAAATTGAGTAGAAAAGAGGGTGCAAGTAAAGTATCAAATGGGTATAAAGAATAGCAGCCTGCTAAAAGATGACGCATGCCGTTGCGCATCTCATTTCCTTATCCTGTTTTCTCCCCCTTCATGTCACAGCACCAACATATCAACAGCAAACAATATAGAGTGAATTGCACCCATCATACGGTAACTTGGTAGGCCGATACAAATTGGTCTAAAAAAACTTGTAAATTGCTCGATATGTATGACAACGTGAAAAAATGGTGAATATACATATGCTCACACCCGCAGGGGGTTCCTTTCCTTCTTTTTTACAAAACAGAGGGCGACTTCATTTCATAGTTGGCGGTAGGGGGCGCTTGAGCCTCGCCCGCTAGGTCAAGCTCAACAAGAGAGATGGATGATCCTACATCCCAATGGGCTAGGACCGTGCGAGTGTTTTACATTTGCATTTCAGTTCCACCTCTTGTCGATCAAGCAACTGCTAATACAAGTATACAACATCATTTCAAATTTATCTACTTGTACCTAAAGCTCACAGTGGATAACCCTGTCACATCTGACATCTCCAGAAGATAAGACACAAAGCGTGGGAATCGATTATAATCTTTGTACTGCAAATTCCTAAAAATAATGTTACTTGGGTTTGAACCGCTGTGCGATCTGCGATGCATGCTAGGTGCGCTAGGCAGCAGCATTGTTCCTATCGGAACCAGTGGAGGAATCGTTGATAATCTTTGTACTCTTATATAGTCTTATATGCTAGTAATATTATCTTCACAATCGACAGTGACACAGCCTGTTCATTTTTGTATACGCACTTGAGAGTTGAGACACATACTTGATGCAGTGGAGAAAAAAGAAAACAAAACGGAGGACCTGGGACTGAAAATTCTGACGTGCGTCGTTGGATACTTGGCCATGTTTAGTTTCACTTCAAATCCAAACTTTGGCACTATGCAAAATGAAGATTTCCGTCACATCAAACTTGCGGTATATGCATAGAGTACTCAATGTTGACGAAATCAAAAATAATTGCACAGTTTGGTTGTACTTTGCGAGATGAACGTTTTAAGCCTAATTAGTCAACGATTGCACAATTATTACTAAATAAAAACAAAATGTTTTCGGCGGCTCCTGTTCCGGCGAACTAAACATGGCTTTGGATTGGAATTGGATTACCGATTATCTGACCCAGCACAGAAGCCCACCAAGCCAACATAGGCACAGCGGCTCGTGGTCCGTGGATAGTGCGAGCGCCACGTCGACTTGGGGTGGCGTGTCACTACTCACTGCTAGCCAGTAGTGTTCGAGACGCTTGCTATTCTCTGCAGGCTTGTGTTGCTTGGCGCCGAGACGCCAGAATTTTATTCCGCTTAACGTCACATTTTGCCTTACGTGTTTCCCTTTCTAGTACGAACGACCGAGCAGAGCCTGCACGATTCGGAAAGACATGAGAAGATGTTAACAGTACGGCACATCGAACAATCGATGTTGCAAATCAGAGCTGGATTGGATCATCAGATTCATGAATTGTTGGTCGTAACTTCACATGCTCACCGCTAGTGATTGCATTGCATTACTGGAATACGTAATTTAGAACCGTCAGAGTTCAGTATATTACTTTCTTGGATATAAACAGACAAAGCAAACATGCCTTCGTTAATCGTTATCCTAATTTCGTCTGCGGCTACAACCCTACTCCCCTAATAGTCCCTAGAAAAATGAAAGTCTCACTTTTCCAAGAGTCAAATGATTTTAAGCTTAATCAAATACATAAACCTACTAGCAGGAGTATTAGTAATACTTACAATGTGTAACAAGTGTATCACTAGATCAATTGTAAAATAATTTTTTCAATAAACATATTTAAAAATATAAATTTTAATAATATTTATAAATTTAGTTAGACTTAATATTATTAACTCATCGAAAATGAGATATTTGTATTTTTTTAAGATGAACAGATTATCTATCAGCACACCAGAATAGAAATCTTATACTACAAGTATATTATTTCCACGAGTTCATCCGTTTACACTTCCTTTTTTTAGATAAAGATTTCGAGAGATGCACTTCTTCAGTCTACTACAAAATACCGACCCCCTGCCCTCCACTCAAATGAGAGGACAAAAGCTAAAGAACAGAAAAATCTTAAAAAAACTCACCTTCTCTAAAAGATAAAAATAAAACTCCTTTCTAAGGCTCCGTTTGACACAGTTTTTATCAGTTCCGACTTATCTGACAACAACACTGTAGCAACACTGTAGCACAAAGCCAATTTTCTCTCTCTTTCTCTCCCCCTCGCTGACGCGCGCACTATTCATCAGAGCCGGAGAAGCCGGTTTTCTGGCTTGCCCCGCATGCTACAGTACGATCGCTACAGTGAGACAGAGAGAAAATCGGTTTCGTACTATAGTGTTGCTACAGTGTTGATGTCAGATAAGCCGGAGCCGGTGTAAGCCGTGCCAAACGGGTCCTGGCCTTTCCAGCCCCAAGGGTACAGTCCAGGGCGGCAAGATCAAAGCGCCCCCCCCCCAACCGCCAACAAATCGCTCGCGAATCGCAAGAACAAGAGAAGAATCAATCCGACAACGCCACTCTCCCTCCACATCTACTTGCTCGCCCAGCAGCCGCCACACCCCGTTCCCTCCCTCGCATCCGCATCGAATCGAGGCGGCTCGCTCTATATATCCCATTCCGCTCGGCTGGATTCAGCTTCCCCTCCCCCTTCCCCGTCGATAAAACCGATGCATCGACCCGCCTCGCGAACCCTAGCGGCGGCGGGACGAGGGGAACAAGGTTACAGGCACGGCGCGTGAAGGGTCCTGTCCTGCACAGTCCCGTCCGGTCCGGCGCGATGCCGTGGCTCGAGATGTGGCTGCCTCCCGCGGCCGGCGAGGGGGCGGTGGCGGCGGGGCTGTTCCTCGACGGCGCCGACGCGGCGGCGCACGGCGCGCTCCTCGCGGCCATGCCCGGATGCTCCCTGTCGTTCGGGCCCCGGCACCGGCGCCGCCGGGGCGCGCAGCCCCCGGGGTTCCTGTCGCTGACGATGTCGGTGAAGGGGGGCAGGGGGTTCGTGCCGGCCCCGGTGGGGTTGCTCGCCAGCACGGAGGAGAAGGCCGGCGCGGAGGAGTCGGACGCGCTCGTCGCGGGGAAGAGGGCGGTGGAAGTTGCTGCGGAGGCGGAGGGAGTGATTCTGCTGCAGGAGAAGGAAAAGGAGAAGGACGATCGTGCTGGAGCTGGCGCGATGAACATGACCAAGCATCTCTGGGCTGGAGCCGTTGCTGCCATGGTCTCGAGGTATAGCCGCATTGTCTGTGGTTCACATTCATAAGACTGATAGCCCAATCCATTGTGTCTGGCTTTACGCAGTTTACATTGTTGATTGGTTCTCCTGCAGTTAAATTGATTTGGAAACTTGATTTTTTTTTTACCAAATAAGTACTGGCCTCGAATTGTTTCTGGATGTTGTTGATAATTTGTTCATACGAATTAAACTTTATGGATCCAGTATTCGGTACTTAGTAAAATACTAACAAGAGTATTTGTATTTCTTTAATTTTTACTCTTGTCTCAAGTTAGTGTGGGTTGCAGTTGAACTCTTGGGGAACTTTATAATCTGTGTGTTTAGATGTTTTTGGATTTAATCTAGACTAGATAGTTTGTTGTAGTCTATGATCCAGATTTGCATATGCGAGTTAGCAACTTAGCATGATTGCTTATCTAGTGAAAATGGATCAGTCTTTTCTCTTTTGACATTGAACAGTAGCTGACTAGCTTGCCTTTGATTGGAATGTTGAAGAATTAATTTGTTTGCTAATTTCTACTTCTCGGGCTCTATGAGGCATTGAGTATGTTGACCTTTAGATGTGGTTCAGTAAAGTTGGCTTCTACAAGTTATTGTTAGTAGTCCACATAATTAGTATTTGAACAGCATGAGCTTTTGTGAACAGGTTAGGTCAAGTACTTAAGTAGTTAAGGTCAAGTAACTTAAGCTGTGTGTGGCAGTATGCAGATGCTTCATCTGGGATGTGTATGTAAGTTAGAAGTTAGAGTTGGCGAAGCTCCTTTTCCATCCCACGGAGAAACTGGTTTCATAAAATTAGAGCCCAAATGGACCCACAAGCCTAGAAATAGGAAAATAGAACTTGCATAGGTTAATAGGAATTGAGAGCGGTACTCTTGAGTCTTGACCACACACATAATCTTGTTTTGTTTCCGCAGGAGGTTATGGATCCCAGTTGACACTGGTGCTTTTAGTAGTTTTAAGTTTGTGTGCTACTTCAGATAGTAATTCACTGTAGAGCTGGTTGATTGTGAGATTTTGAAACCTTGGAAGAAGGGAATTGATTTTTGTTTCATTCAATTTGGTTGCTTTGAGATGTGATTGGTTTGTTCTGTTTTGACATATTTGAACGCTTCCTCTTTTTTCTTAATCCTTTCACTATTGTCACTGCTTGAGAAATCAGATGTTGTATATCCTTGTCTCATGGTAGATGTCTTTTGCTACCTCTAGATTTAGAAGATCCACAGTATATCCATGACCTCTGGGTAATTACCTTAGTTTGAGGAGGTAAATGGATGATAAGTGACAAGTTCAAGAATACCCAGTGATTTGCTGGTTCCTGGAAGTGGACCATCCACTGACATTCTTATTTCTAGCCATAGTTGGCATGCTCACTGTTCTATTTCAGCTGATTGTGTATTTATGATGATCTTTGTATGCTATGGTCCTGTAAATCTTAGAAGAAGCAACCAAAACAAACAAATAAACAAAAAACATGCCAAGAACTTCTCCTAGCTGGTCCCATGTGCAGTTGGTTACTGGCAATTAGATAAGCTTTATGATCCAGCCCTCTTCCATGATTACTACACGAAGTGAGTCTTGCTTTCCTAGTTATTGTTTTTTTATTAGGAAGAGAGTACATGAGTTTCTTTCATAATTTTTATATTTCATGCAGAACAGTTGTTGCTCCTCTTGAGAGGCTAAAGTTGGAGTATATAGTTCGTGGTGAGCAGAGGAATCTATTTGAGCTTATGCATGCTATTGCAACAACACAAGGGTTGAAAGGCTTTTGGAAAGGGAACTTTGTCAACATCCTCCGCACTGCTCCATTCAAGGCAGTCAACTTCTATGCATATGACAGTTACAGAAAGCAACTTCTCAAATGGTCTGGTAACGAAGAGACTACGAACTTTGAGAGATTTATTGCTGGTGCTTTCGCTGGTGTTACAGCAACGATTATGTGCATACCTATGGATACAGTAGGTTTCTTTAAAGATTTTGTACCACAGGTTTCCTTAATCTTTTACTTTGTTGCCATCTTTTCACTGACTATTTAGCTGTTGGTTTCAGATCAGGACAAGGATGGTAGCTCCTGGCGGTGAAACTTTAGGTGGGGTCATTGGTGTTGCCCGCCACATGATCCAAACTGAAGGATTCTTCTCGCTGTATAAGGGATTAGTGCCTTCTCTTATCAGCATGGCACCCTCTGGCGCTGTATTCTATGGGATGTATGACATACTGAAGATGGCATATCTGCATTCTCCTGAAGGAAAGAAAAGGATATCAATGATGAAGCAACAAAAACAAGAGGCAAATGCATTGGATCAACTTGAATTGGGTACTGTGAGGACCTTACTCTATGGGGCCATTGCTGGTTGCTGTGCTGAAGCAGCTACATACCCGTTTGAAGTGGTCCGTAGGCAGCTACAGATGCAAGTAAAAGCAAACAGATTGAATGCATTTGCAACATGCCTTAAGATTGTTGATCAAGGTGGGGTACCAGCACTGTATGCCGGTCTGATCCCCAGCTTGTTACAGGTATGTATTCTTTCAGCAGAGAATCTATTTCCACATATATGTAGGGCCCAGCTTTATTATTGTACTGCCTTCATTTTTTTATAAGGCTTACTAGCACCTAGCATTTTAAGAAGTCTTCAGAGATATACTCTAGACTACAAATTTTCACTTGAAGTATATCATCGATTGCTTCAAGCTCAAGGTCGTAGTAAAACATCAGCTAAATACGAATCTGTTCGTATAACTTTAGTATACTAAGCAGTAAACAGTATGCGTGCATATACTTAGACTAATTGTTGGTCAAAATTCATGAAGTGTGACCTTTTCAAATCCTAATATGCTGTATAACAAGATATGTTGAGGGTATCTATTTCATTTGTTAATGCATCAAACTAGCAATAAAGAAAACATATTTAATGAAAGTGACAAGGTTCTTGACATATCCCTGCAATGATGCTGGTTTACTGAAAGAGACAGAGATTTGTGCAGACTGCACGAACTTAGAGACCTGCATGTATCATTTTGATCCTACTATTCATTGCGATCAGTGTATACTAGTCTGTTTCAAATTGCCTTAAGTTTCTGGTTTTCTTTCAACTTTTGTTCAGGTTCTACCATCGGCATCGATCAGCTATTTTGTTTATGAGTTAACGAAGATAGTCCTGAAAGTGGAGTGAATACAAATTAATTGGTGAGCCTACGAAGCAAGTTCAAATGGTGATCACGTACCTTGATAAAGTTGCTGGGGGAAAACCAATAACTTATCTAGTTTTCTCATAGGCTTGCTTGATGAAAGCTCCAGATGCTGTGAGGGTAGCTTCAGGTTATTGTTCAACTGAAGCTTTGCAACTAGTTGACCAAATTGTACACGAGGTTCTATTCAAGACCTGATTCAGTGGCTTAGGGCCTGTTTGGCATGACTCCAACTCTGGGTAGAGCTGCTCCACTCCAGAACTCCTGGTGGAGTCAGCTCTGGGTGGAGTTGGAGTTGTCTGATGGAGGTGTTTGGCTGGGAGGGTGTCCCCAGCTCCTGAAAAGAGGAGTTTAAGGGTAGATTGCCATTGTTGCCCCTGGTTCGATTTGAACTACTTCTCACAAATATGAAATGAAAGTATGCAGTGAAGTACTACTGTTGTACTATGCCAAGAAGATTTTAGAAGGCACACTTTCGTTTGACTGTCATCGATCTGTGGCAACTACCGTGAAAAATGAAGAGGGTAGCTGCTGCACTAGCTGATTGGTGAAAAGATCTGTGGCAACTACCGTGAAAGTACATGCACTAGCTGATTAGTGAAGCTGGCGGCCGATTCAGAGTGGCAGAGCAGCATTGCATTGCATTTGCATTCGGATTTTCAGATTTCGATTCAAAATTGAACAGAACAAGGCAGTTCAGCAAATGGTTGCAATGATTGATCTGAGTACACATAGATCCAAAATAAGTTCATAGTTCCAAAATAAGGTCGTTACAATAATCATTGCACTAATTCCATGCTAGGGCGACGGATGTAGCCATATTATCACGAAATGTGTCCATAGTCACAAAGCTTGATTCCGAAGTTGATCCATCAGAGGCATGTTGAGACACGGCATACTTGTTGTACCTTTCCGGAATAGTAGGCATGAAGGTAGGATCTCTATCAAAATTAGCAAAGTCCACATCAACACTAGCATGTTCACGTATGAAATTGTGTAGGACCATGGTAGCAGCAACAATCTTCTTTTGTGTGGCCATTGAATAACCGGGCATCTTGTAAAGGATTTGCCATTTCATTTTTAATACTCCAAATGAGCGCTCAATAACATTACGAACAGATGAGTGTATACGGTTGAACTTCTCTTTTGGAGTATTTGGTTCCATACCTCGATGCCACTCGGGTAAGTGGTATCTTTCACCCTTGTATGGAGCTAGGTACCCCCTGACGATTAGGATAGCCCGCATCTACAACATAGTACTTGCCTACACATATGTAAAACAAGATAAGTTTGTGCATACAAATATGAAAAAGAACGTAAGCAAAATATTTACCTTGAGGTGGATGTGGGAAGACATCTACATCTCGCTTCCAATGCATGGTACAATACACTAGTGTCATGCAAAGAACCCGGTTGACCAGACCACATACGTGAAGCGCATATCAAAATCACAAACAACAAGCACATTTTGAGTTGCAATTCCAGCCTTTACCAATATATCTCACTTGTTCTTCGGTGATAAAAACACCTAACATGGGTTCCATCAAGTGCACCAATGCAATCCTTAAAATGTGGATATGCTCTCTTGTCATTCCTAATCCTCTTGTGCACATTGCGGAAATTAGGATCTGTTGGTCTCAAGAAATCTTGTGCCATGGCAACCACACAATCTAAAACTTCATGAAATTTTCTACTAATGGTTTCACCTGAGTGTTTGAACTTATTTTGTCCTCTTCTATTTGACTCACACCCACCACATGTGAATAGGAAAATGGCCAACATCTCATATGTATTAATGTGTTTCGATGGTTTTAATCCGTACCTCTCAACCAACACATCATGAAGATCATGAAAAATAACCTCATTCATCCGAAGCATTCGATGACACTCCCCTGGAGTGTTAACCGTCTCCATCAGCCATCCCATTCCACTTTGTTGTGAAAACATAAACCTCGGCGGTGCCTTGTTGTAAGGGTCGAGATGGCGGACTAGAGGGGGGGTGAATAGTCTTTTCTAAAATTAATCGCGTCGGATAACCGATATAAATGCGGAATTAAAACAATCGGTCTAGCCAAGACTACACCCCTCTATATATGTTCACTAGCACCTTGCAAAGATACTAATAAAGCAACTAAGGTGCCGGGCTAGCTAGAGCTCTCCTAAACAATTCTAGGAGCAAGGTCACACAAACCTATGCCACTAGTATTTTAAGTAACAAGGGAGCTCCTACACATGCTAGTAAGCAAAAGCACAAAGCTAACTAAGCTCACTAGCAATGCTCAATAACAAGGCAACCAATGCCTAATTAGAGAGCGCAAATACTTAGCTACACAAACTAAGCAATGTGACTAACAAGGTTACTAAAACCAAATTAGCCACGCAAGGGAGCTACTTCTATGCTACACAAGCAAGAAGGTAATTAGCTAGCTACACAAGCTATCTAATTACAAGAGCAACTACACAAGCTTAAGATATATATATATAAGTAATTGCGAGCTTGTGTAATGGGGATGCAAACCAATGGGAAGAACAAGGATGACACGATGATTTTTCTCCCGAGGTTCACGTGTTTGCCAACACGCTAGTCCCCGTTGTGTCGACCGCTCACTTGGTGGTTCGGCGGCTAATTAGCATCACCCGCTAAGCCCGCACGTCGGGCGCCAAGCAAGAACCTACCCCTTGAGTGAGGGTAGCTCAATGACACGCTTTACTAGAGTTGCTCTTCATGGCTCTGGGCGCGCACAATGCCCTCACAAGCACTTCTCCTGAGCGCCGCAAGCTTCTTCTTGGCGCTTCGACGGAGACCACCACTAAGCCGTCCTAGGAGGTGGCAACCTCCAAGAGTAACAAGCACCACCGGCTCGCAACTCGATCACCTAGTGCCACTCGATGCAACCTCACGATGCAATCGCACTAGAATCGCTCACTCACACAATCGAATGATCGCTATCAAGTATGTGTGTGATGGAGGGCTCCCAAGCACTCACAAGCATGGACACTAAGTCCCTTGTGGTGCTCAACACCAGCCATGGCCGAGGGCCACTTCTATTTATAGCCCCAAGGGCTAAACTAGCCGTTACCCCTTCACTGGGCAACGGTCGGGACGACCGGACGCCTCGATCCGATCGACCGGACGCTGGACCACAATGTCGTCCGGTCACGCGATATCGCCACGTGTCCCTCAAGCGTTCAACGGTCATCTTCCGATCCCAACGGTCATCTGCCGACCGGACGCGAAGATTTTAACCGACCGGACGCAGAACCCCCAAATCGTCGGTCGTTTCAATAAGCTCCGAGCATGACCGGACGCGTCGTCCGGTCGAACGCGATCGACGCAGCACGCAAATACCGTCGTCAGGTCACTCTCCGGCTCTCTCACGTCGTCAGACGTCAATGCGTGACCGACGCATCGGCCAAATGCCGTCCGGTGCATTCAGATCCCGGCGTCCGGTCGGTTGATCGACGCCAAAGATCTTCGCGACCAACTCGTTCTCACTTCTAACTTCTTCACCCTTGCTCCAATGTGCTAACCACAAGAATTTTGCATCCGGCACAATAGAAAATAGGCATTCTATTTTCCCGAAAGCGCCGAATCCCGCCTCACAAGCTCGGCGGGAGGGAGAGAGGGACCCAAACCCATCTCACCCCTGCAAACACCACCTCGTTTGTAAATGTGCCAACACCACCAAGTGTACACCACCATGTGTATGTGTGTTAGCATTTTCACAATCATTTCCCAAAGGATGTTAGCCACTCAACTTGCCACGCCACTCGATCCTAGCGACAATGCAAAGTTAGATCACTCGAGTGGCACTAGATGACCGATATGCAAACAAGTTTGCCCCTCTTGATAGTACGGCCATCTATCCTAAACCCAGTCATAAACTTCTCTACACACCTATGACCGGTGAAATGAAATGCCCTAGGTTATACCTTTGCCTTGCGCATTCCATTCCATCTCCTCCAATGTTGATGCAACACATGCACCAACACGATCAACAATGATATGATCCACTTCATATCATCACGTGATCATATTGGTTCATCGATCTTGACTTCACTTGCCCTTCACCGTTGCCATCGTCCATCGGCGCCAAGTCTTGCTCAAGCTTCACCGCCACGCGGTCCATCACTCCAAAGCCTTCGACTTGCCCTTCACGCTTGCAACCGGTCCATCAAGCCAAGTCTTGTCTTGATCTTCTCCACCTTGATCACATGACTCAATGTCATGTCTCATGTGCAATAAGCTCCTTCATCATCACGTGTGTGAGCTTTGCAACATCTCTAAGCCATTTTCACCTTCATGGCATATGTTGCTCACACATGTACTGTGGACTAATCACCGTGTATCTCACATAAACACAATTAGTCCACCTAGGTTGTCACTCAATTACCAAAACCAACAAGGACCTTTCAATCTCCCCTTTTGGTAATTGATGACAACTCTACAAAGATATGGAAATTAAGCTCTTTTGGATTCATGTTGCTTGCCTAAGCAATTTTACCATGTGGAAATGATTTTGGACAAGTACCACAAACCCGAAATGGTAGTATTAGCTCCCCCTACATATGTGCTAGTGTATTTAATTTGAAGCTTGCACATATGCATAGATTGAAATTGTGGGAGAGTAAATACTACAAAACGATGCTAAGGTGTATAGAATAAACCTTTGAAGCGTGTACCAATCGTAGTTGCACCTTTAAGTTCATCCTTAGCACCATGGTTAGCTAGATATCACTTGGAAATAAAAGCACTAGATACCTCATGAGATCAACATTAAAATCAAGGTACTAGCATTACTTAAAGAATATACCAAGTGTCTAGCTATCATCCTATGCATGCTAGTTATCAAATCATCATTCAAGTTCTATAACTAGCATACACCACACAAGCATGCATATTGAATTTGAAAACTTATGCAGTGCAAGCAAGCACATGATTATGCACATATCAAATGCAATCAATCAAAGTTTATGAGCTTGC